GGTCTATATCACTGTATATATAAGTTTAACGTCTCATATAGTCTAAAATGTTTGTCAAAAAATCTTCAAAAACCTGATTTCTGCTACCACTATTATTTTTGTAATTTCTATTGTTGCTTTTCTTGTGACTGCTATTGTTCTTGTGAGTAATGTTATTGTTCTTGTGCTGATGATATTTGCTATTGAAGAATTTCTGTTGTCCTGGGTGTTGCCTTGTTGTTGGTGTTGCGCCTGTTGTATTGGAATGTTTGTATTCCTGTTTTGTCAGGTGAGAAGTGATAGCCCTGTAGATGTATTTCTTCATGTTTCGTACGATGTAACTTATGCCCTTGTTGTTAGGATGAACTTTATCTTCAAATAGGTATGATTTGATACGATTCCTGTTGTCTAGGACATTGTGATGAATGTAATGTACATTAGAGATTGATTCACATAGGAGCTCTAGTGATGAATTCAATCTCAATTGGTTGGAATTAAATGAATCATTGTCCAGTCGTGGTAGAACACTTGAAGCAAATATACTGCATGAAGGATATATGTATGTAGTTGCATCATTACCCCATCCCACTAGTGTTTTCAAACAATCAAGGTTGATATTATTGGCAACTGTCCTTTCTGTGTAATAGTTATTTTAAATTCTACGGGAGGGTGAGTATTTGACGAATACTTTGAAGCCAAACGAAACTTTACAGGCTTAGCGGGTGAACAAACATGACCGGAAAGCTAGTGGGTGTTAGCCATCCTAGAAGGAGAACCAACAGTGATCTTAATCTCACTGTATAAATATACAGAAACACACCTGAGAACACGGACACTTTCATTTATTTATGCAAACTGTGCCCGAACTGTTACATTTAACGAGAGTCAACGCCGAAATACAAGTCACGACGGTCTTACGTCGATCTCGTTTTGCAAAACTGTACTACTCACAACAAAAACAGAACAAATTCATCTCTCTGTACTCGTAGACATACATTGTATCCCCATTTCGTTTATTGCATTTGCTTCGATAAATTATCCTTGGTTAACCTCACTTCATCAACACGATATGGCAAACTAATCAGGGGGCCACCAGCATCAGTCGCGGAATCAAGAAGCGCATACTAGATGAAACGCTTCGACTGAACGTGCGTTAGCGTACAGGGCAGACGACAATGCCCTCACAATATTGTCTGATTTTGGTATTGAAATCCACTGTTATTGGTTATGGATCGCTTTATTTGATGCACCTGGGTAAACCTACATTATATTTAAATGACAGGTGGCGTCTGGGCAATCCTTCTGCATTATTTTAAGACAATGGCTGGCACCTGGGTTATCCTTCTACATTATATTGAGACAATGGTTGGCACCTGGGTTATCCTTCTACATTATTTTAAGACAATGGTTGGCACCTGGGTTATCCTTCTACATTATTTTAAGACAATGATTGGAACCTGGGTTATTCTTCTACATTGTTTTAAGACAATGGATGGAACCTGGGTTATCCTTCTACATTATTTTAAGACAATGGCTGGCACCTGGGTTATCCTTCTACATTATTTTGCGACAATGGTTGGCACCTGGGTTATCCTTCTACATTATTTTAAGACAATGGTTGGAACCTGAGCAATCCGTCTACATTATTTTAAGACAATGGTTGGCACCTGGGTTATCCTTCTACATTATATTAAGACAATGGTTGGCACCTGGGTTATTCTTCTGCATTATTTTAAGACAATGGTTGGCACCTGGGTTATCCTTCTACATTATATTAAGACAATGATTGGCACCCAGGTTATCCTTCTACATTATTTTAAGACAATGATTGGCACCTTGATAATCCGTCTAAATTATTTTGAGACAATTGTTGGCACCTGGATAATCCTTCTACATTATTTTAAGACAATGGTTGGCACCTGGGTTATCCTTCTACATTATTTTAAGACAATGGTTGGCACCTGGGTTATCCTTCTACATTATTTTAAGACAATGGTTGGCACCTGGGTTATCCTTCTACATTATATTAAGACAATGATTGCCACCTGGGTTATCCTTCTACGTTATTTTGAGACAATTGTTGTCACCTTGATAATCCTTCTACATTATCTTGAAACAATGGTTGTCACCTGAATAATCCTTCTACATTATATTAAGACACTGATTGGCACCTGGGTTATCCTTCTACTTTATTTTGAGACAATGGTTGGCACCTGAATAATCCTTCTACATTATTTTAAGACAATGATTGGCACCTTGATAATCCGTCTAAATTATTTTGAGACAATTGTTGGCACCTGGATAATCCTTCTACATTATTTTAAGACAATGGTTGGCACCTGGATAATCCTTCTACATTATTTTGAGACAATGGTTGTCACCTGAGTAATCTTTCTACATTATTTTGAATCAATGGTTGGCACCTGGATTATCATTCTACGTTATTTTAAGACAATGGTTGGCATCTGGATTATCATTCTACGTTATTTTAAGACAATGGTTGGCACCTGAGCAATCATTCTACATTAATTTAAGACAATGGTTGTCACCTGGATAATTTTTCTACGTTATTTTGAGACAATGCTTGGCACCTGGATAATCCATCTAAATTATTTTGAGACAATGGTTGTCCCCTGGATAATCCTTCTACAGTATTTTAAGACAATGGTTAGCACCTGAGCAATCATTCTACATTATTTTAAGACAATGATTGGAACCTGGGTTATTCTTCTACATTGTTTTAAGACAATGGATGGAACCTGGGTTATCCTTCTACATTATTTTAAGACAATGATTGGAACCTGGGTTATCCTACATTATTTTAAGACAATGGTTGGAACCTGAGCAATCCGTCTACATTATTTTAAGACAATGGTTGGCACCTGGGTTATCCTTCTACATTATATTAAGACAATGGTTGGCACCTGGGTTATCCTTCTGCATTATTTTAAGACAATGGTTGGCACCTGGGTTATCCTTCTACATTATATTAAGACAATGATTGGCACCTGGGTTATCCTTCTACATTATTTTAAGACAATGGTTGGCACCTGGGTTATCCTTCTACATTATTTTAAGACAATGGTTGGCACCTGGGTTATCCTTCTACATTATTTTAAGACAATGGTTGACACCTGGGTTATCCTTCTACATTATATTAAGACAATGATTGGCACCTGGGTTATCCTTCTACGTTATTTTGCGACAATTGTTGTCACCTTGATAATCCTTCTACATTATCTTGAAACAATGGTTGTCACCTGAATAATCCTTCTACATTATATTAAGACAATGATTGGCACCTGGGTTATCCTTCTACTTTATTTTGAGACAATGGTTGGCACCCGAATAATCCTTCTACATTATTTTAAGACAATGATTGGCACCTTGATAATCCGTCTAAATTATTTTGAGACAATTGTTGGCACCTGGATAATCCTTCTACATTATTTTAAGACAATGGTTGGCATCTGGGTTATCCTTCTACATTATTTTAAGACAATGGTTGGCACCTGGGTTATCCTTCTACATTATTTTAAGACAATGGTTGGCACCTGGGTTATCCTTCTACATTATATTAAGACAATGATTGGCACCTGGGTTATCCTTCTACGTTATTTTGAGACAATTGTTGTCACCTTGATAATCCTTCTACATTATCTTGAAACAATGGTTGTCACCTGAGTAATCCTTCTACATTATATTAAGACAATGATTGGCACCTGGGTTATCCTTCTACTTTATTTTGAGACAATGGTTGGCACCTGAATAATCCTTCTACATTATTTTGGGACAATGGTTGGCACCAGAGCAATCCTACTTTTTTTTGGAACGGATGAATGGCAACTGGGTAATCCTACATTATATTCAAACGACTGGTGGCACCTGGGCAATCCTTCTGCATTATTTAAGACAATGATTGGAACCTGGGAAATCCTTCTACATTATTATGCAAAGCTCTTACCTGCAATGCTGTTCTAACTTTTATCGATT